ACCTTGGGGCTATGAAAGCATAAATGCCAGAAAAACGCTGAAATCTCAGCTTTTTTTTTTTCCTTCCCTCCTTCTTTTTAAATCTATAAATATCAGTTGAAAGGAACCCATGATCTCATATTAAGCCAACGGGTCATAGTTATGCTCCCGTTATCTTTCCCCTTTTTTCCTATTGTTTAAAAATAGGAAACAGCACCACATTAAAATGTTCAGCCAGAGACAAATCGTGCGGCCGAAATCCAGGAGTCAGGAAGCTGGTGTTTTAAAATAATGTCATCCTCGTTTTCCCCAGCACACACCAGTATTGTTGATACTTCCAAATACTTCAGTGACTTTTAATAAATGAGTAACCTAGGCAACACTGGGCACAATACAGGCAGCTGGAAGGGCCCAGCTAAAAACTCCTACCAAAACAGAAGAGCAAAAAAAAAAAAAGACACCAATAATTTATGCACAAATTAAAGTCAGTTTTCCTTAAAAAAGGGAGTGGGCAAACAGTTTGCTGCAGACTAACACTGCAGCAAAGCTGGGAGTAAAGCAAAGGAGAAAGCAGGCTACAGGCAGCCCTCAGCTGCTCTCCAAGTCATAGGCCAAATGCAGGACACACTACAAAGGAGGTAGCAGAGGAGCTGACACATGGCAGTATGAGCAGATCATGTGCAGCAGTGCTTCAGTCACATCCTTGGACATCCCCCTTTGAGGGACGTGGTTAGTGGGCATGGTGGTGACAGCTGGATGGCTGGATTTGATGATCTCAGAGGTTTTCCTCAAACCTTAATGGGTTGGTGATGCTGGTTGGCAAGGGCAGGCAGTGCCTCTGCCCAAAGCATGCTTATCAGCTTTAACCTGCAGCAAGCACAGTTACTTAAACCCTTGTTTTTTTTTATTACATTCTGTCTTTTAGAGCAGACAACCAACTGGAAATGATTGTCATTTATCACCTTAACACGATGTAAAAAAGCTTCGATGTTATTTAATGTCTGTAACAACACACCACAGTGGTACACAAAGGCCACCGTAAGGTCAGATACCACGACAGTCCAAATGCACAGGAAACAGCACTTCCATCCCCAAAGCCTTACCTTCCCATTTCTGCACAACTTGCTGTGTGAGTTAAAAATAAGCCTATTGATCAGAAGGAAAAGCAGTACTCAGAAGCACCGACCTCCTCTGCTTCCCAACAAGGCCGCCTACACAGACACTCCACAAGCTATAAGCCGACTGTCAGCTTTCCTTGGCAGCAGCTTCTCATTCACACCTTCAGCTTATCCCACTTAATAAGTCCTCTGTAACGGCAAAGAATCACACACACAAATGCAGCTTTGTGCAGAACACAGCCCAGCTATGCCACCTGAGTTCACCTCAAGGAGAAGAGTCCAGGAAGGTTTAACAGCTGTCCCTCAACCATCAGATTGCCCTATATGCGTAATGAACTTCTGTTTGGTTCCTCACATCAAACACATCCTCCCTACCTCCTCCTCATCAGGCAGACTTCTGAACAGAGCTCCTGGAGGTGCACACTAAGGTCTGGAAGTTGGAAGCAGAGAGAAGACGCTGTGCATTTCAGGCAGCCTTGGGCATCTTCAGCAGCTCCGGCACCACCGTCGAGAAAATGCCGCCACCTGGTGGGGTCTGCTTGGGTTGTGGGACAGGGCGCTGGGTTTGGGGGAGGACATCACCTCGAGAAGGCTCACCAGCCTCCACAGCTCAGCATGAGCAGTGCCGGAAGGACAAGGGCTGCTGACAGTAAGATGATGCTTACTGTCACCAGCGCTCACCCAGACAGTTATGCTTGGGAAAGAAAAGACCTCAGCATTTTTAAGTATCACTGTGAGCAGTAGAAATTAATGTATATATACGTTTATATTTAAATGCACCAAGCTACTGACAAAGTCACAGCGAGGCAGGCTGTAAAGAAACAAAACTCTTGAGAACAGAGTCAGAGCTATTTACAAAACAGAGCAACGTAGATGACAGATTGCTGGAACAGGTAACTTGTGGAAATGGTGTTTTTGGACTGAATTTCACACGATTAGAGATGCTCCTGGTCAGTGCTTGAGTCTCGGCTGTTTTTTTAATCTCCACATGACATTATGTGGATTACTGGAGCTTCAGCCCTCAGCACAAGCCCAGTATTTTCCGAGAGCCAATGCTTAAAAGCTCCGAACTTGAGTTTCAGGCAGCTGAGAGACGTTTCTGTCTGGTTATACCAGGTCTAGAGCTTTCATTTGGAGCTAAGCTATGCCTGGAGGTCAATATCCAGCCTTTGAGCATCACTGTGAAGAGCAGGCTCCTGCTGCTAGGAAGGGGGGTAAGCAGGGCTGCTGTGGCAGCAAGGCACGTCCCCAGCCGCTGGCAGCTTTAGAGGACAAGGTGATGAAAACACCCACGTCTGATCTGCACTACGGTTTGTACAGCCACTATCGTCTTTTAGCACCAGTGCTAAAATGGGAAGACATTTCCTAGCCCAGATAAGGCCACAGAGCAGCGCTGCCCACTTCCAGGATGAACATTAAAGAAAGAACAGTCTCTGGAACGTGCTATTTTCTACTTATTTCTGCAACCCCTGCTTCAAAATCAATCACTTTGGTGCACGAGTGCCAGCAGCGAGCTTAGAGCCAGAAGCAGATCTGACAGCCACCACTGGAGAAGTTTACAACCTGTTTAGATGCAGACTGTAAGTTTGACAAAATCTGATTCTGCCCCCATCACATGCAACATTTAACACCAATGCTGCAACGGTAGCTTTATAATTCATTGTTACAAAATCCATGGGTGCTCAGTCAGCCGTACCAAGCAATATAATTGCTCTGTTTTCAGAGTTAGCACTGAGAAAGCTGTAAATCACTCATTCCTTCGTCTATCCCCAAATCAGTTCTAAAGAACAGAGAAAAAGACGTTCGGACTTCGACCTAAAACACTGGTGAAGACTTCCAAAAGTCACTCTTCCCTTTTACATAGGAAAAAAGCATAGTATTAACTCAGGCAAGACAACCTCTTCCCTCTCACCCACTCTGTCCAGTCAGCCTGAAGGAAGCTGTTACTCAGAATACACTGATAAGTATTTTACAGAAACATTTGTTGTGTGTCAAAACTAGTTCTTGGAAGTATCACCCAGTGACACTCACATGATTTGTGCTTCATAAGTAACTAAACCCCTCACTGTGACAAGCAAATGTGCTGTTCCCACTCACTGCTCAAACACCCGGCCAGAGGAAGCTGCCTGTGTTACAAGCTCTGTCCGTCAGGAGGGAAACCGTGTTCTTGTGGTCTGATCACGTTCTTGCTAATTCACCCAACCAGGGCCTCCAGAAAGCAGAATGGGAAAGCTACACTTTAACTACAGCAGCAGGAAATGCAAAAATAGCTGGACTGCGATTTAGATATTGCAGTGAGGTCAGACAAGACCTCAGTGTCACTCTGAAATCACATCCCAGACATGGCAAAGTCCTGCTGTACTCACATCACGGTCATGCTGCTGGTGAGCCACAAAGGCCAGTAATGATGGTACTTTACTGCTCCGAGCTCTTCTCTCTGCTTACAGATGAAGTTTTACAGACTCTGCAACAGGACCAGCTCCCCTCATGCCAGTAATTGCTGCCTCAAACAGACAGGAGTGGGATGGTACACTGCTGCAGAATAGATGCACAGAAACAAGCGGTCACTCTTAGATACCAAACTTCTTTCCTCTAAAATGAGCCTTTCCATAGCTTCTCAGGCAACTACCTTTCACATGGAACAACTCCATAACACAGTTGTCCACGTCTCACATGGAAAAGAAATGCAAGGACATCAAAAGCTGCATTTCTTGCTATGCCAGAAAACGGCTCTCATCTTTTCATGTCAGATATTCCTTCTCTCCTCCGGCCATCCATGGTGAAATAATTAGTGTTAGCGTTCTCATTGTTTATCAGACAATGCAGACAATGCGGCTGAGCTTTCTGCTCCTGTTTGCTTTAGCTGTGCTGCTGTGGTTCCTCCAACAACTGCGCGAGGCTTTACTTTTAATCCTATAAATAACACTTGTCACTCACAGGTTTGTAACCCACATTTAGTTGCACACAAACACAGCGCAATTTCAGTTCGATTCATTGCCTGCAAACTTATCCGGGAAAAAAAGGCGAGGAAGGAGGAAATACACACATCCTAACCTGACGGCAGCTTCAAGGGGAGGAGGGAGGGAAGACACCACCACATCAGATTCTACATGAGGGAAAGAGATAATGAGTTGTTTTTAAACACAGACTGAGAATAATTAGCTACGGTCCTCAGGCTACGCGACGTATTTTACATGCTTGAAGTCTACCCTGATTCTTACAGCCTAAGAGTTGGTTGCTCCATCACACGGCTGCCGTTCCATTCATCCACACGTTGGTGTCAGCCCACAAACCTGTCACAGCGTGCCTTCACCGACAGCACTGCTCCTCAGCACGGCTGATTCTGAGCAAACTGCTGCTTCAGACACCCAGGCAGGATGCCGGGCAGCAGGCAGATAGGCCAGAGCCAGGCATCCTGGTACAAGAAAGCACACTCTCACTTTACCTTATACGAAGCACTCCATGCAAACAAATAACCCAAAGACACTCAGATTCTCCTGAACCTTCCAAAAGCAGCAGAGAGGTGGTTTTAGGTTGCTCTGTGTGTGCCCTTTTTTTTTTCTTTTTTTTCTTTTTGTAAAGAAAAAGGTTACATTTTAGACTGTCAGCATTGTGAGCATCGCAGCACTCAGGTCCACTAGCCCAAGTGGAAGCCACAAGTCGGACGCTGCTAAAAAATACCCCAAACTTCCATCAGGAAGAAGGAAGGAGAGCAGAGCACCGGCGGGGAGCAGGGGGCGGCGGCCAGGGCTGAGGGAGCGAGGGGAAGGGAACGCGGAACGGCCGAGGATCACCGAAATCACGAGCGAGGATCACCTGGCGTCGGAAAAACTGAGTGAAAAGTTGGGCCCGCCGCGATGGAGCCCGCCGCCACGGTCCGCACCGCCCCTCGGCGCCCCTTACCGTAGACGCGGACCCAGCCCTGCTGCTGGCACACCGAGTCCAGCAGGACGCGGTCCAGCGCTCCTCCCGCCGCCTCCAGCTCGTCCGAGCCCAGCTCCGGCTCCGCCAGCGCCTCGGCCGCCCAGGCCGCCGGCTCGCCCGCCGCGGGGGCCGCCTCCATGGCGAGGAGCGGGGGACGACCGCCGCCGCCGCCCGCGCTGCTGCCCGGCCGCGCCTCGCCTCAGCGCGGCTCCATCCCGCCCCTCGGCCGCCGCCGCCCGCCCCCTGCGTCAGCGCGACGGGAGGAGGCGGGGGAGGAGGCGGCCGCGCTCCGGCGCCGGGCGGGGAGCGGCGGGACGACGGGTCGTCGCGAGGGGACTCGCGCTTCGGGCCTAAGCTGGGCTGCGCGGAGCGGCGTGGGGCCGGAGCGCCGGGGGAATAGCGGCGGCCGATCGTCCGTCTGTGCGCAGCTGTGCCCGGGCGGCGGCTCGGGTGCTGTGTGCGGTTCTGGGCAAGAAAGGCGTTGGGGCTCTGGAGTGTGTGTGGAGATGGGCACGGAGCCGCGCGGGGTGTGGGGCACGCTGTGATGGGGAGCGGCTGAGGGGATGGCATGGGGCAGTGTGGAGGAGCTCAGGGGAGACCTCGCTGCTCTACAGCTCCTAAATGGAGGCTGTGCTGAGGTGGGTCAGCCTCTGCTCCTGGCAACAGTGACGGGATGAGAGGTGATGGCATCAAGTTGTGCCAGGGGAGGCTCAGGTTGGGTGTGAGGAACGTTTCTCCTCCACAAGAGCAGCAATACAGTGGCACAGGCTGCCCGCCGAGGTGGTGGGTCCCACGTTGTGGAAGCCAAGGGTAGATGTGGCTGTGGCTGAGGGATGTGATCGGAGTGGTCGCTGGCATCGTTGATGGACTTTCCAACCCTAATGATTCTACGAACACAGCATGGATCCTGCTGTGTTTCAGATCATAACACCAAAACATCACTTTTCAGGGAGGACAGGCAGGGATTTGGCTTGCACTGCGCTCCTTCCCCTGCCCTGTGCCTAGCACTGCTCGATACAAACCAGGCAAGTTCATCCAAGCGCACAGATGCTGTGATTATCTCCATGGTGCGGAGATGATGTAGCAGTGCAACCATCTCTCCAAAACAACATGCTAAGACCTAAAGCTTAGCACAGGCTGCCTCTAACGGCTCCTCTCTGTCCACAACTTCTGCCTTTATATAAAGATACAAATATTTTTGCCTTTATTCTGACACTTAAACAGCACTGTCGTTGGCACAGTCGTTACCCAGCCATAAAGCTGCTCCAAGCCAGACCCAACTCTCCCATTTCCACCCATCCTGCTTGCTGTCCTGTTTCATTGTGAGCTACAATAAATAAGGGCATCCACACAGTGAGTTACTGCACCTTGGCTGAGAGCCGTGACCTCCCTCTGACGAGGCTGTAACTCAGCTCTGTGGTGTGGCAGGATCGCCCACTCGAACCCAAAGGTTTGCCTTCTGTGCTGAGTGTCACAGCTGCAGGACTCACACGATGGCAGTGAGCCGACTGGATTTGAGTACCTCCTACTGGTGTAGTGGGATGCACGATGGAAGACATAAACTATTTCAATGGAGAAGTCCTGCCAGCCCTATGACTAACTGATGAAACCTTATTTCCTGGGGTTTTATGTCGCATGCTTGACTGAGAGCTTGGCCTGAATCTTGCCCTACAACTAGGTTGTTCTCTATGCAATTGGGCTCTGCTTTCTGGATTGGGATGAGGTGCAGGTTTTTTGTTGTAGAATGGGAAGATGCACTTTGCTGCCATTTCCAAACTGATTTTGACAATAAAGAAACCTTCCTCAAAATGTTGTTTTGTGATCAGCAAAACCATTGCAACCTGGTTTTCCACCAGTTCACATCCCAAAGCAGAGTCCTTGGGATCTGGCAAAGGGTGGATGCCTGCTTTGCAGAGCCTTGTTGGATCTCTCTTTACCTTACCTGCAGTGTTCATTATTCCTACAGGAATTTAATTATCTCTTGGACCCTTATCACTCTGTTTGAAACAGATCAGCAGGCTCAACACTTACTGCAGTTGTAGGAGATGAAACACAGGACAATGAGAGAGGGAACATCCTGTGAGTTTGGTGTTGTCAACCTCAATTTTCTGGGAAATAAGGGTTAAAAACATATCCTGCTATCCAAGAAGAGTTAAACCAGGCAGGAGCCTGTTGAGGATTCATCCTTTTCTCCCAGTGACAGGCAAAGGATAATTCTTCCACATGTGTTGCAGCATGGCATAGCCCCTCACCTCCTGACCTGTCTCCTGTGGAGAGCCAGGACACCCAGTAACACTTCCTGGTTGCTTCCTGTCCCACACCATGCCTTGCATCGTGCTACCCAAAGGCCTGGGAGCTGAGGGTGTGCAGGGCTGTTCTTTTTGCAGAGAACATCGGCACAGATTGCCATAATGACACCACAAAGCAGTAGGGCAGCCAATTTCTCTGTCCTATGTTCTCTTTACCACTGCTCGTTCCCACTACTGCTGATAATATACTCTCCAAGTTTGTCTTTTAGTGGCCATAATCCAATTAACTTGATTGTTGAGGTTTTTTCTCTGCAGTCCTCTCCTCTCCTTCAGCCTGCCCTGAGCTTGCATGGGCAGCTGTGGGGAAGTGGGGACGGAGCTGCTTGTATTGCGAGGAAAGGATGTGGCTGTTGAGCTCCTGCCAAGAGAAGAATTGCAGAGTTTTTAAGAGTTGCCACACAGAGCTGGGATGACAATTTACACAGGATCGGCATGGGACAGCAGCGACTGGTTCTCATCAAGTAGGGTCGGCCCACTCCCAGTGCAACCCAAAAGTGGACTCTCTGAAATGTCGTGCTCTGTTGGGAAACAAAATCCATTCTTCTGCCTTCATTTGTGGGTTTTGGGGCAACATAAGCAATAATAAATAGCAGAGATGACTAAAATAGGAAGAGTGACAGTAGCAAAAATAGACATATTTTGTAAATAAGGATGTCCTGGAAACAAAGATGCCAGAGTTACATGCTCATTGGTGCAGCTGTTCTGGCTTGAGGTCCTCTCAGCCCGTGATGCAGCAGGCATTTGTGAAGGGAGCATGACAGTGACCCAAGCACATGTGTAGGATTCCCTCTGTGAGAAGCAGAGCCATAAAGCTGCTCATAGCCCTCACATTAACACAGAGGCCCTGGAACTGGAACTTTGCTCAAACTTATTCCAAGTTCTCCGCCAAGCAGCACGGACAGGAATGGCCACATCCAAAGCGGACAGAAGGAAGCGCTTTCTCACGCAGCACATAATTATATTCTGCAACTTATTGCCACAGGATGTCATGGAGGCCAAAAACATAAATGAATTCAAAGAAAAAAAAAAGAAAGGATTAGATGGATCCGTGCAGCCTCTGGCTCAGGAAGTCCCCCCGCCGCCGAGTGCCGGAAGCCGGGAGGAAAGCTTGCTTTGTGTGCTCCTTTTCCGAAATCCTTTCCTAAGCATCTGCAGCTGGAGCAGCCAGGGTTGCTACCCACATCCCACTGGACATTCCTTATGGATGGAACCTCAGCCCTGTTTCGTTCCCTTGGACCTGCTGTACCAGGGCTGGGTGCCAGAATCTCCACAGCAAAGCCCATTTGGATGGGGATGGTAGACAGTATGCACGCTGATTGAAAAAGAGCAAAAACAGCGTGGGGGAAAGTTAAATATTAAAGAACGTCCCTCCTTCATCTCGTGCCAGCTGCCCCCAGGGTACGTGTGCGGATGTTGGGTTCCTACCTCGCCTTGAGCTTTATGCTGCTTCAGCAAAATTCTAATTTTTCTCTAATGGAGGAGAGGAATATCTGGTCCTGTTGCAGTGGGACAGTGTCCTCTGAAACACCAAGTGGCCCCGAAAAAGGGCTTCTGAGAGCCTTTCCTGCCAACAGCTGCCCGTGGAAGGGAAAATGGAGCTGGAAAAGCACGCTGCAGCCACATGGGCATTGTCCCTCTGATTTTGGGAGCTCTGTGCCACTGGTCAGGAGCTCTGAAGCGGATCTGAGAAACCCTGCAGCTGATATAAAAAGACATGGGGCTGGCATTGAAGAATATTGTCTTTAAATAAAGACAAAAAGTGGACTTGTTGGTGATGGAGCTGTTCCCATATTATCACTATTATGTTGATTACCCCCAGGCTGCCGGAGCTGATGGCAGTGGATGTGGGTCAGGGTTTGTCTTTGGGCTGCGAGGAACGAAGGATTTATCCCTATTTTTCTTGTTGGATGACTTGGAGAGTATTTTGAGAAGCGAATAACCACTGGATTTGCTTCCATCTGTAGGAACACGGGCTTCTCCCTCTGAGCTCCTATGTCACTGCTTCATCCATGCCTCTCTGCTGTGTTTCCGCTCCGTGTTGCCTAAAGCAGCAGATCCCTGCCCACGCTACTGGGAGCACAGACATGTGCCAGTGCCCGGCCCGGCGCTGTGGCTCCCTGGGGAGGCGGCTGGCTGCGAACAAAGGCTGTGCGGAGACGCGCGTGGGCCGCTCCCGCAGTCCCCATCCTGCCCTTAATTACGAGCTAAGCGGTGGCTAATAAAGATGAGGCAAAGCAAATAGATCGAGCCGCCGTTCTAATTAAGCGGCGTGCGACGAGCCAGACCCATCTGTGCGACAGATCAGCACGAGCCGAGAGGGCTCCATGAGTTTTGGATGGAGGCTGCATCGCTCCGAACGGGGAGCACAGCGCGGCGCATTCCCCCGGCTGGCTCCCGTACGGCCACTCTGCTCACGGGCTCGGCACGGCGCTGCCGGGCGCTGACACCTCCCTCGTGGCCGGTGCCAATCGCTGCCCAGCGCGGCCTGGCCCCTCCCCGGGCGGGCGGTACGCGGGGTACGGAAAGCAGCGGGAGCGGCATGGCGGCGGCGGCGGCGCGGTGGTGCGGGGCAGCCGGGCGGAGCGGAACGGGAGCGCGTCCACATCGCGTTCCCTGCCCTTACCCATCCACTTCAGAGTCCCCTTGCCTCCGTACCGTCCCCTTTCCCCATAAACTCTCTTCATCGTCTATCCCCCTAGTCCCCATTTCCCCCCTTCCATTCCCAGTCCGTTCCTATATGACCCCCTATACTCCCTCTCCATTCCCTGTCCCTCCCATTCCTCATCTTTCCTATTCCACCTCCGCCCATTCCAAATCTCATTACCCCCAT